AAACCCCTTTTCTAGAGCCCTTTTGGAAATCAGATCGGGGACTAAAGGATACTTGAACATGTTCGTTCAAGTATCGTTTCGAACATGATGTTTTATTTATATTCGTTTGAGTGTAACGAATTAGAATATAAATTATTTCTACATATTACTACAGAGTGTAGCTTTAAGCGTTACGGAAATCGAACGCTATTTTCGAATGCGAGTAGAATATGAGTGAGTGAATAGGTGTGTAGTGTTTAGGAGAGACGAAATCATTCTGGCTACGTCATCTATACAGTGAACACCTTCTTAAACGTCATTGCAGGTTAAACATGTTCAACGTTCGATAGGTTCCATGCATTATTTCATACCTTTTCAGGCCACATTTCGAGGCTCCTCACATAGAGGTTTTAATGGTGAAAATTAATGCATTCAATCAATCGAAAGTTTTTTCAACATATCATTAAGTCTCAGTCTTTACGATTTTATGTACTAGTAATCCAAATCAACTCAGACATGCATCTGTAGGCATACTTTATTACCGATGTTCATAAATGATGCGTAAATTTACACTACTGGAAAATTATCTGATGTAATTCAATGGGTCATGGCCTTAATAATTAATAAACGAGATGCGACCTCTAGCCTATTTTTAATATCTAATGAGTGTCATGTTATTTTAAAAGCGCAACGCTTTGTAATGTATAGAACACTTGTTACTCATATAAACCTAAATGAATTTTGAAATGAAATCTTTATATTGTTTAATATTACGTATATCGTATGAATTTCAATTACAGGGACAACGTACATTCGAGTTGACAACACACATTTCTGAATTTTTTAAATTACAATAAATACTTGAATATTTATTAATCTCCACTCGTCCTCAATTGTGAAGTATAGAGAAACATATTCTCATAAAAATAATTGACACTCTTAGGCTTAGGGAAAAAACTATCAAAGGAAATGTGAAAAAACAACATTTTCCAACCGATCAATTTTCGTGGGTAGATTGACTACGAAAAAATCGAACACTGTTGGAAAATCTTTTAACGTTATTAGAAAGTTAAATGTCTTCCTAAACGAATACACACGAAATCAAACATGAAATCTTTCAAGTATTCCCAAGATTAATTTTTTAAAACCTACATCACACCTGCATCATTGTCTTTGCTTCAAATCGGTTAGATAGTGACATCGTACATCTAAAGTGTACTACGGTATATTTTGTCACTGTACCTTGTCAATGGTAAGGCGTGAAAGTGTTACTACAGTATTTACAACGTATTTTTCGATGTTGGGGTAGTTTAAACTAAAAAAAATGGTAGATCACACCGAAATTTTCGAGCAAAAATAGTATCACTGAAAAGCTTCAAAATGATATATGAAATACATGCTTAGGTTTTTTACTTAGGCGGGTATTAACGTTTAAAAGTGACATTAGGCCGTATTTCTCTAAGTGTCCCCAGGTCCGTGCACGTCATAACCATGACTATAGTAGAGTGATATATATTTTTTGAGACTGGATTATTAATTCGTGATATGTCATATTTTGCACCATCATATTCATCAAATAAGTAAATGTAATTTACATGCAATTTGTAATTAATGGAGGAGTTTCAGCCATATGTATTTTCAAAAATAATACATGAAAGAATTAAAAGCACCATAATACAAAAAGTCACACAGTTCTCACTCGAACCACAAGCAAAGAATGATTGAACCTCACATCATAAGTTTTTAAAGGATATAACTCTTTTGAGACTGGGAGATCATTAATTGGTGATATATGAGTGTTTATTATGGGAGGTTTTGGATATGGGGTATATCCTGAGGGATATATGGACATCCTCATTTGTCTTAGGATAAATATGTATAGTTGTCTTATTTTGCACCATCATGGTCCAACTTATTCATCGTCATATAAATATTGCTTTGTTGTGTTTTTCCAGGTGACATGACAATGGATGTGTATAGGTACGAGCAAACTTCACACAATCCACTCCTGATGTATTCTGGGAAACATCATCCTCTGCAACCAGCCCCCCACATGGACGAATCTACGTCATCTAATTCATACCAGAGACAAAATAGAAAAGTCAAAAATAAAGTCCAGTGTACATTGTGCCTTAAGGCCTTAAGGCCTTCAGGAGTCAGACTCACCTTTCCATTCATATTGATTCACACACTGGGGATAAACCATTTAAATGCAACATTTGCTTCTGTGCCTTTGGACACCCATTTGCATTGACGAGGCACAACAGAAAATGTCACGCATCCTCTTCTGCCACACAAATGTCTCGCTCTACCTCAGTGAAAATTGTTTTTGTTATAGTTTTTCCATTAAAAAACATGCATGGTAGAAACTTTTTTACAGCTGGACCAAAATGTTATTTTTGTGAAATATTTCTTACAAGTTGCTCGCTTTAAACTAACCAAAGATCCTGTTTTTATCATACCTAAAAACGGTACGACATTGTCGTCAGCTTGACAGCGGGCTGGCGGCGTCTCACTTTCTTGTCATCACGATTTCAGGAAAACCACTTGATGGATTTACTTCGAATTTTCAAAGTTAAACAGCTGATTAACCCTTTGGCGGCCATCTTGCATTCTGGCAGCCATCTTGGAAGTTTTTAGGTAAATCTTGTTATGTGTTTGTTTACTTTTTCATTTATAGTAGTAGAGCAATTTTGTTGACATTTTATATGTGACTACTTATTAATATTAGCACATTGCGTCCATTTTATGCGTGTTATTTTCACATTTTTGCTATAACTGGAAAAGTAATGGAGCGATTTTGTTGAAATTGTATATGTGAACAATAACTAGCATATCACTCTTTCTTATGAAAATTTGGCTAGTGAGCAGCCATTTTGAAAATTGGAGGTCCGTTTATATGTGTTATTCTAGTTTTTTTGCTTTCACTTGAAACCAAATCACATAGAATATTACAGTAAAAGTGCTCCATTTTACTGTAATATTTTATGTGAATAATTAGAAATGTATTACACTTTTTGAAAAGTGGCGGCAATTTTTATGTGTGCTAATTTACGTTGTTGCTAACTCGTAACTGGAAAAGTAAAGAGCAACTTTGTTTAAATATAACAATATATTACACTATTTAATGACAATTTGGCTTATACATGTATGCATGCAAGCGAGGCCATTTTTGTATGTGTTGTGTTGTATTCTATGTTGTTTACCACCAATGAAGGTGAGCAATGCCTCTTGGATATGTCCCGTATATATATAGTCGTAATTAACGCATTATCATGGAAGGCAGATCCAGGAACTTCTCCTTGCCCTGTGTACTTTTATGTATGTGTCCTCATACATAGGCATACACAAGTACACACCACGGCCTTTTTACGAGTCGTGGACCATTCAGTCAACACCCTGACGTACTTTACTCAACAAGCAAAGTGCCTGAACCGGGGACCAACCTGGAACCTATGCGTAATTGGTACATGTGCTCTACCGCTGAGCCATACGTGTGATGCAGTTTGCAGTTGGAGTTTGCACACTTCCAATAACAATTTCTTTCAAGGCTTAATAAATACAATGTTACATAAACAAGTAATGATAAGAAAACAATCTAATTTTTGAATTCAAGAGTAAAATGTTTGATTTATGATTTAAGTGGATCCATCCATGACGTAGCCGATTTTCGGTACCGTGACTGAATGTACTGTTTCTGTTTTATTTTCGGAGGGGTTTCATATAATTTTTACTGTTATTGTATGTTGGATGTACGTTTGGCCCTAAAAGGGCATCAGTACAAATAAAATCCTATTATATATACAGGGCGTTCATAAAGTTCTTGCAAAAGTACTCTAGTTTTTTTGTTTTTCAATTAATCTGGCTGAAATATTCACTCAGTATACCTACACTATTCATACCCATTTGAATCTTGAATTATAATGATTGCTATAGTATGATTGCTATAGTAACACGAGTCAGGGGTAGGCGGAGCAGCATTGAAAAAAAGAAAAAATTAGAGGTTAGAGGTAATTTTAACATACTTTAAAGTATCCAGGAAAATACAAAACAAGCTAGTGTTGCCATGTCAACCCTAGATGATGTCATATGATGACATCATAGTTGAAATTTATTTGATTCATGACATCACTGATGCTATCAAAGTGACTTATATTGGTTGATGACATCTGCCTTTGTGAAAGGCAGCGTCAATTTTATTTTTTGTGAAAATGGCTGCAAAATCAGCAAAAGATGATGATTTGCAATTACAAATATTCAGTAGCATCGGGATGTATGTTTTACTGAGAAATTCAAGAATACAAACACTTGAAGATATTCATAAGGTGTATGGGAAGGAGGTTGTGGCCAAAAGAACCATTTACAAAACAACACTTAGTACATCTCTCTCCAGGATTTGAGTCTTCTGTAATAGTTTCTTCCATTTTTATGTAAAAGTTCTAAACTCTGTTCGATAAAAGCTGTCCACTCCTATCCTTGCTACACGAACAATATGAACTAGAGAAACGCATGCGCAAATTGCAATTACAAATAAGTTATATATATAAAAGATGTCGCTTACATTAAAAATTCATTTATTACATAAATATACACTAAGACATTTACTGATGGTAAAACAAAGTTAAGGACGAATGCTAGATCAGGCCGTCCAAGAATGAAATCCAATGAGAATGAGATGATGTTGATGGAAGCCATCCATACAAAGATCAATCGCAAGAAATTTTTCAGATGAGTTCCTTCATCTGTTTGAGGAATGGTAACTAAGACAGCAGCGGTATATAGACCATGATGGACACTATTTTAATTTTACATTACACTCTTGAATTACTGTTATTAAAGTAAATAGGAACCATAACTTTTTTTCCTCAAGAACCTATTGATTATAACTTTGGATCTCAATGTATGAATAGTGTAGGTATACTGAGTGAAAATTACAGCCAGATTAAATGAGATACGAACATTTTAGAGCACTTTTGCAAGAACTTTATAAACGCCCTGTATATACTAACACTTTCATTATGTGAAATAAATTTAATGTTCACCGTTTCACTACATCGTCTTAAAGATTGGTATGCCATCACCACAATAGCTAAGTGACCTGATGTACCTCAAGAAGTTGTGCTAGAAATATTCTAATATATTTTATTTCCAAAATGTAAGTAGTAACTAAGTGTCCATTTCATTTATCATTGTTTGCAGTCACATTTTTAACCAGGTCCTCTGACACGGCTGAAAGAATAGTCAGTGTGTTATTAGTATTAAAGTATGTTCTCTGGACGATTTCAATATTTTAATCATTATATGAGTAAAATATCTGTGAACTTCACTTTGACCATATACATGCTAAGATTTGAATATGTAATTCGACACATAAACACCCAAATCAGCAAGATGAAACTGTTAATACCTCAATGGACAACATACGCCATACCCCTGACCGGGGATCATTGCACAAAACGTGTTATCCGGACACTGCTGTCTTGGTTCTTCCCCACACCATATTATAGCACCAGACGGGTTCTTTGCAGGCCTCCTGCATGGCAATCCTGCAGATTCCAACGTTCGAGTCAATGAATACTGTTCAATATAGCATTATCATTGAGAATCGTCGTTTTTAGATTACCTCGTTTACATACTTGGTTGATTTTTTCTAATTTTATATTTTTACCTCTGAATGTAATTTTCTGTGGTATGTAAATAGGTATTACTCGAGCAAAATAGAGCCTCTATTGAAGTGCGCTCTTTAGTGATTTTTAAATTACCTCTTCTGGACTAAGGTTCCAATACACCGTTGGAAAGCTAAGAGTGTCAGCTTTAAGAATCTAACCTCATTTGAATTTTCGCTGAATGCAAAATTAGATATTAACCCTTCATCACTGTCAAGTTGTCAGGTTCAATTGCAACTAACAACTGTATTGTATATTCCCAAATTACAAATTCAAGAACATAGTATTTTCAAATCTCATTTATACTGAAAAAAATTCTGACGCATTTTGTAGCATTATTGGGTCACTGCACTTAATGACCCTATTATTTTTATTTTATCTGGGCCCAAACTCTTAAATATTCTCCAAAGTATAATTGAATTAAATTAATTGACATTGAAGACATTAAATTAATTATTGTAAACCTAAAAATAATCCATTCTGGCCATATGGGTACTTGTCATTTAGAAATTGATTTTCATAAACGACCCCTTGGAGATGAAAGGGTTAATATCTAATTTTGCATTGACTAAAAATCTGAGAGAAAGTCAGATTCTCAAAGCTGATCCTTTCAGCTTCCCAATGGTGTATTGAAACTACACACTACTTTCAAACATCAAATCTCATTTTGACCGAAAACAAAAATTCTAAAGCATTTGGGGCCATTGCACTTAATGACCCTTACACTGTATCTCAGCCTATCTTGCTTTGAAATCTTAAATATTCACCAAAGTACAATTTGACATTGGATTAGTTGTAAACCTAAAAATAATCCATTCTGGCAATAGGGGGATTTGTCATTTTGAAATTGATTTTTATAAAATTAATAAATGACCCCTTGGGGATGAAAAGGTTAATATCTAATTTTGCATTCACCTAAAATTCGAATGGAGGTCAGATTCTTAAAGCAGTTGTAAAGGGGTAGAAGGTCCTATCAAATTATGGTCCTACTCTCCATTGATTTATATGGTGACCTAAATACAACTCTTTCCCTCATTATCTTATACAAAATCAGGGCCAGTAAGGGCCTTAAGAAAGGGGACCATAATCTCTGGGAGACCATCATTTCTTACACACCGCTTTCAGCTTGCCGACGCTGTAGTGGAACCTTGGTTCAGAGGGGGTCATTTATAATATACATGTATCACCCTAGTTTGCTCTACTATATAGCTTTAAAATCTCTCCAATGATTTGTTTGTAATGACCAAACCATATACCGTAAAGCAAACCCTCTACTGAAATATTAATCAATGAGAAATAATGACACAATGTTAAGATAATAGAGAGGTAAACTGCGCGTTTTTAAGAGAACTGTAACCTGAACGTGTAATATTTTGGTCCCCTTGGGATTCACCGGTCAGTACTAGCGAAGGTAACGGCCGTTACCTTCGCATCTAAGATGGCGGACGGTTAGTGTCGATTTCGACATTTTTATGTTTTCATCGAATTAAACCACTTTATAATTGACGTAATGCTTTGATATCACCACAGTTCAACGATATCATCCACAGCTGAAGGGAAGGTTATTGGGATTTTGGTTTTAAAGATGATGAGATGAGATGATGAGATGCGGTGATGCAGTAATAAATTATGAGATTTATATAAATGATAATGGAGAGCTAAGATGTCCAGTTACCGCGTATTGAAAAATAACATGACCATTATCATGCATTACCACTTACCAGTTACAACGTAAGCGTTGGAAGATATCCACGGCGCCCACGCACGATATATGTACAAATTATCACACTCCATAGTTCCCATGTCATATAAGCCTGATTTGGTTCAAATATCAAAGCATTAAGTCAACTATAAAGTACTTTTACACTATGTCTCCCAATTGAATTGTATTTTAAAAATATATCTACGAAGTTATGATGACGTCATGAAGTCTTACTATATTCAGACCGAGGCAGCTCACATCGCTCTCCAGTGAAACGTCTTTTACATTTGCAATCCACCCTCACTCCATTTTCATCACGTACACACTTTCCACGATTTTTACATAAGCATCTAAATTTAAATGAAAGCAAAATGATACAAATAGGATTATTAGACTATGGTCGCATTATAATTATAAACAATATATCTAAGGCCATGTGTTAACGCCATCCCCCCTCCCATTTAAGATTTAGGTAAATTCTCAGAAAACGAAGGTTTTAAGATCCCATACACGTACTTGTAATGATTTCAAATGATAATAACAACTTAAACAAATAAAACCCTAGATCATTATAGAGAGCAGGCAACACATGACACCGGCATACCTTGACTGACAAAGATGTTATTTTAGGTGATAATCAAAATTGAATGAATAAACTAAAAAATAAATAAATGATATTTTTACTGCTTAAATGGTAAAGGCTCATCATAAATTGGTTCTGCCAAGAATGACATGGGGGGCTCATCACTACGACATGGAGGCACCCTGAATCGTATACGCCCTGTATTGGGTGCCGTCGCCACGACAACTGTTTCTCGTACCTCAGCCTAAAAGATATTGAGAGTTTTGAGAGCAAACAAAATGTCCGGTATACAATAGAGTAGTGAGTTTGAAGAGTATCGCTAATAAATATGACAATCATACTCAAGGAAACTAAATTTTCTAGTGATATATTTATGTAATCTGAGGCCTCATCATCCGCTCGTCGCAACGCAGATTCGCAACCACACCGCAACGTAACGCAAGTTTTGGCGAATCGCAATCATGATTTGTATCATCCGCTCGGCGCAACGCAATCGCAATTGGGAAGATGTTTCAATCGCAACTGACCAAAAACCTGCGATAGCTCTTACCCCGCCGCAAATCAGTCGCAAATATTACCCATCTTTAAGACAATTGTTATCTATTTCAAATGTGTCAATCTATGAGTTTCTTTATTGATTGCGTAAGTATGTTCTTTTCTCAAGGCGACTGTGTAATAAAAAGTTACTTTATGTTTTCCGAAAGTGCTTAAATCAAAGGAATCGTTAATAGTATGAGAGGTGTTTAAAACATTCGAATTTTATAATTAAATCCAAATTCCGATCGCAAATCCAAGAAAACGAAACGCAACATTCATTCCGGCATCGCTAAAAATGGTCATAGGCTTTGAGGTTCTTTGCAACAGGCAACTTAGAATTGACGAATGGGGACTTATTTGGAATAACCCAAGCATCTGTCATGAGGTGGTGGGAGAGGTGTCAATCATTATGTTAAGGTACAGTATATTGTAATTTTCGATATGTACTGACTTCAGTGAATCAAGGCATTAAGGCATTAAAGGGTACTACTGTAGTATGAAGTAGAGTAAATACTAGTATGTAGATAACATTCAGGAGTTTCACTTATTGACACCCTTGGCCAAGGTCAACTTGAATGTATAATTTCCCTCGAAATAAACATCCATGGGGGTATTTTGAAATGAAATGAGAAATTACTATACGAAAATCGGTATTTGTCAATTGGGTTTCGATGGCATGGAAATAATTTTAACATATACGTTTGAGTATTGGAATTTTACTGGAAAGGGTGCAAACGCGAACGGTCCTTTACTTCCCAGTCACATTTCCTACGGCGACCGTGTGGTCTATCATTTCCGCGGTCAGTAACATTTCTATTTTCTACGCTCCCCGTAGAATTTCTGCGGTCGGATACTCTTGCAGTCAAGTTTCCTACGGCAGTCACACGGCGAGTTTTTGAATTTGTGTTGATTAACGTTAATTCTGCTTTTTGTTTTATCTACATCAGTACAATTTATAAATGTTGTTTGTAGTGTTAGGATATAGAATCGAATAAAAAGTGCAAGTGAAATGTAAGTTGCTGTGGTATCAGTGACCTTACATCAAACAGTATACGCATTATCTACAGCAAATATATGACCGACAACTGACATAAAACTGTTTCCAAAGGTATATTACCCATCAAACCCTACAACAGAAGCAATAGGATAGTTTCTAAATAGCAGAAAAATCAATGAAATCTCGTGCTGCCATCTTTTATTCAGCTTTTAACTCTGGCTAGAGCTCCATTCACTTACATGCTAAAATCTTGGAAAAGTGGCTTAATTTCATGATATATCAAAGTGTGTTTGTTGAATCTGTATAAAACTTGAATGATATACCACATGATGACCCTGTTTATGAACATGTTGTGATTAAACATGCTAATGTTGATTGACATACAAATAATCCACGGTTTTAAAGAATTTTAGCATTGCATCTATGGACATTTGGCCCAACTTTTTTTAAATTGTCATAGAAAATTATTCAAATTACATAACTGTGTAAATCAAAGCTATTTTAGGAGAAAACATTCCACTGAATTCAAATATACCATTTAAAAGAAGGTAATGTAAGTCATTAGAGGTCTAATATGCAAGTCTCTTAAAATCTCACGAAAAACGAGATTTAGCGAGATTTCAAAAGCTATATGGAAACTATACTATTTAAGGGCAAAGCCGACGTGCGGCCACCGTCAGACCTTTCTGCGGTCTGACAACGGCCTGTTGATTTCTTCGGGGACCGCAGAAATGAACAAATATTATAACTCCGAGTCATAATTTTTACGGCTACCCTGTGGCCTGGATATGCTGTACGGAGACCGCAAGGCGAGCTCGCCGCAGAAATTCACTGATTTAATTGATCTGCGATACATCCTCTCGCTCGAGTGCACACTCGTCAGTCATTTCACACTCTCATCCGAGTGCACTTTTGTCAATACATGTTCTCAACCGAGTAAAGTTTCGTTTGTACAGACTTTCATCCGAGTGCATCCTTCTCAGTACACTCTCTCACCCGTGTGAAACCACGGCATACATACTCTAACCTGCGACCCGGGTGCACCCTCGACAGTAAATACTTTTACCAGACGAGTGCACCGTTGTAAGTGCACAGAGCCCCCTCGTGATAGCACACTCAAATACGATGCATCCGAATGAGAGTGAGCACTGTCTAGGCTTCACTCGGATAAGAGTATGTGATGACCAGGGTGCACTCGGGTGAGATTGTGTACTGATATTCAACTATTAATGTGTTCCCGATCGCGAGATTCGTGTAATGACTAAATGAAGTACAAGAATAATATACTTCCCAAAATTTATTTCCCGAAATAAATCCCATTAAGATTGAACTTTAAGATCAGTGATTATGTGTGATATCGTTACACGTTGATATTTTTTTATTTAAATAATCACTTTCTATATAAATGTAAAACTCAACTTGAGATAAGTACTTGAATAAGGCCAGGTGAGTCCATGGACATCAAAAATGTTCTTTGACACGGACATTGTATTTTATTAATATGATTTCCCCGCCAGTTTATATATTAACTTGGAATTCTACATTTTTGCGATCGCATGTGGTAATCTACCACTTACAATACGTTGCGATCTGCGTTGCGACGAGCGCGTGATAACACGCAACTCAGGAGTTGCGCTAGCGAAAATTGTCGATTCGCAAACGCAGACGCAAATCTTGCGACTAGCGCGTGATGAGGCCTCAGTACTATAATTTTATTCATTTATTTGACAGACGCCTTTATAATATGCGAAGTTATACTACAACACGTACGTCACGTTAAAAACAAAAGTAAACAATTATTGGAATTACAATTGAAAAAGTAAAGCAACTTAGTGGAATCAACTTTTATCTAATCGTAGTATTCTTGGTGGTTTGTAATACAAACTTTGTATAAAAGTGCCTTTCTAAAACCCCATTTGTAATAACACTTTAATCCAAAGAAGGGTTAAACCCTTAGACGCTTTCTTAGAACGCATAGCAGGTGTAATTCAATTAACTTAACACATTTATACACTCAAAAATTTGGTGAAAATATTTTCAGAAATTTTCAGAAAATAATTTCCACTGGCTTGTTTGTTAAGTTTATTTTCAGCGTTTGTTGTGCTCTTCCTCCAAGGCTTTTTATACCAAATTGTATTTTACAAATCTTACTTCTATTTGACATTTTTCGGCATGCTCCCGTCCTCTTGCATATGTTGCTTCCATTTTGACGAAATACTGTCCATGTTTGTCTGGATCCGGGGGTGGAATTGATCCCCTCTCAATTGTACACAATTTCTCTTCAGAACCAGTTTCAAATTGGAATTGTACACTTTCGGGATGGATGTCATTTGCAGATAACTCGCAGTCAAATATTATTGTATCTCCATTACATGTGAAAATGGCTAAAGAGAAATGGTAATGTGTGATGCTTATAAAATCCATGTGTAGCTAGATAACGGCAACGCCAAGGCGTAGCAAATCCTATAGAACAATCATGGCTGTCATTTTTGAATGGCCGCATACTGAGAGCGAATATGCTTTGAAGTATTCAAATTTCGACAAAATCACTCATTTACTTTTTAATATTTTCACAAATAATAATTTAACGACTATTTGAATTTTTGTGGATTGAACTGCAATAATAAAGAAAATTTTATAAGAAAAAATGTCCCAATTTAGATCTGATTTTCTCTTTAATATTGCAGTTTTATATGCTGTACCTAAAATTCCGGAAATGCTTAAATTTAAAGTGACACTAAAATGCGGTCATTTTGAAACCGTCCGCCAATTTGAAAATTGGCTTTCGAGCAGAATTACATGGGGTACGTATAAAAATAAACGATATTGGCCCAATACTATTTGAGTTATTCCCCGGAAATGCGGAAGTTTGATCAAACGTGCATACCTTTAAAAGTACTCATATCTTTAATTTATATTTTGCCAGCTGTATAATCGTATCATTTCAGTAAAAAAGAAATACCGAATGTGTACCATTTTACAGAGTTTGAAGTCCAATACCGCTAGGAGTAAAAGCTATTGAAAACGGCGCCAGAGTATCAAACTCTAAAATGTACCATTTCTTTTTAAACTTTTTAATGGCATGATATAGTGACACGATAATATTAAAATATGTTTTCAGCATAACTGTAAAGGTATTAATGAGATAGATATTAACGCATTACGTCTTTTTAATTTTTTTATAAAAAATAATATGAATATTTTTTGTCCGCTGTGACGGAGCATTTTCACAGTTTACATTTGCAACTGCTCCGTCACAGCGGACAAAAAAATTAAACATTATTTTTTATAAAAGAATTAAAAAGACCAAATACATCAACATCTCATTTATACCTTTATAGTAATGCTGAAACCATGTGTAAATAATATCGTGTCGCTATATCGTGCCATTAGAAAGTTAAACAAGAAATGGTACATTTTGAAGTATGATACTTCGGCGCCATTTTCAATAGCTTTTCATCCCAGCGTAATTGGACTTCAAACAGAAGTGAAAGTTACCAGCAAATATCCATTGCATGGAGTAAGTAATTTCCTTTGGTATAATGAAACATATAAGTTAAAAAATAAATCGTGAAGTATTCTTAGTGTTTTTTATGAGAAATAGCATGCTCCGTCACAGCGGACAAATATTTCGATACCAGCCTGTGACTATAGGATGATATCACACTTCCTCGGAATATCTAATTTGAATTTTCAGAAGGCGGCCTCTCAGGCTGATGCCTTTCATTAGCCCCAGGATAATCCAAATATCCCGAACCTCATATAGGATAATCTCTGTCTAGATGTATTTGGTTTGAAATTGACTTTTATGTGTAGGCACCAACTCTTTGTATGTTATATTGTTGTATGCCTTTATAATAACTTTATAGATTCTATAAAAAATTACGAAAGTCAATATAATATTTAATTTCTTACCAAATGGACATGTGTGGTTATGATGACATGCCTTAGTCAACTGTAAATAAAGTAGTATTTTAATTAATTAAAAATAAGGAACTCGTTCCTACCTCTGACCTAATATCATCATCGAAAAATCAACAAACTAATTTTTCATCAAACAGAATCGGAAAAACTTTTTTGTTGTACAAAGTCTTAAAAGGGATGTATGTATACATTGACACTTTTCAAAAGCAAATTATTTACAGTAAAAAACTTGCATTTGGTCTTTAATGGCGCAGGTTATAAATATGTACTTTTTATTTTGAATTTTCTTAATTTTGTTGTTTGTCCGGATCAGAGAAAGGCAATGATGTTCTTAATTAGAATTTATTTCATGATAACTTTTCTCATAATGTGAACTACTTTAAGTCATATGCCAATCATTCTGTGTTGGCTGCCCGGTGGTTGTTAGCAATAAAGTATTTATAAAAATGTATGTTCTAAATAGTACATAGTATGATCAGTTTTTAAATACTAATATAGTACCTGGTATCCCATCACAAGCACCAAAACGCACTTACGCAGCAGATCCATTTTCCCAACACTGAGATCTAAATATAAGTTCTGTTACAAATCAAAAATTCACAACGTTATTTCAACTTGAAAGTAAAAATTATTCATTGAAATTGATCTTCAGAGAATTATTTTGGGATTTCTTTAAATTGTAAATAAGATAATTTGAAATTCTTACCTTCTCGGCAAACGTTTATGAATTACCAGCTAAACAATGTGGTAAATGGTTTTATAGTGATCTTGATGGCACTTGGATAACAGCGGTCATAAATCTCGAAACGGCAACAAGGCACCCGAAACATAAAGCTGGGGATAAAAAACTTAAAACGAGAGAGAATCTTTGAAAACACCAGCCAGAAGAATTAACAAATTAACAAATGGTTTGAAATCGGGATTAAAAATTGGCAAAAATTGATTCGGATTGGACAAATCAACTAGAAAAACAGCAACACTATCAAATAGCAAATCCCACCAGCAGACCAGATATCCGAAAGCATACTATAAGTGAAAACATTTAAATCATTGACTTGACTTTTAGTATTGGAAATATTTCGCGTCCTTCGGCTATCGTGATGTAATATATGACTTCACCGCCATCAGGGCACTATAAATTTGAAATAATTCTTGGGACATCGGTTATCATGACATAAGCTTTAAATAACATCGCCAGGGATAATTAAAAACAAAAACAAAGAGTTTTTCTGGGCCCACTAACTGAGGGGGCGTCCCCCTTTAGCCTAGTGGGCCAGGAAAGAGCCAACCCCCGCCCCCCGCAATATCCGCCACTGTGACTTAAGAATCAAGCAGGATTAAATCGGCCACCGTATCATATTGATAGATATGATAATTCAGCGACTATTGGCTATATTATTTGAACAAAAGTCTATTGTCCCCAGGTCTCTTCAGTCTTTATTTCAGCCATAATCACTCAAAATAAATTTCCCGGGAAACAAAGATTTATACCACTTCGTTCATTGTTTTAAAGCGCCATCTATTCTATTGTGAAAAGATGGTGAAATGGAAGTTATTCGAATATTGCTGCCAAGCGATCACCTCCAAGCGATCGTTGAAGGATTCTAATTCAGTCGAAACTGTGACCAGATTGTACAGTTTATCTGGGTATGGAAATATAATTTAATTAGATGTATCATTGACTCAGTGATAGCCACTCTCAACAATGTCCTCAAATTTTGGAAAAAAGAAAAATCATTGTTGTCATTAGAGTAGCCTACATGATGCCTGGAAGTTTGAACTGAAAGTGAAACTTGGAAGCTATGCTTGTGTAATGACCTGTGATAGCAAGTTGCTACTACGATCTTGGCTGTAGTGGTTATCCTCTTTGGCCAGAGTGTCTGCCTCCAGCGGAACGTCCTGGGTTTGATCATGGACCTCTGCCAGATAACCTCTTCTTCCGTGATGTCTAGGCTCAATAAATATACTCATCCTTTGAGCCTACTACCAATAGGCGCTGGATCTGGCTCCGCATCTGTGGGTTTGATTACCGCACTGGGCATTGAATTTAGCACACTCACTTTCGGGTCTGGTATCGGACTTGTTACACTTCAGCTCCCTGACAGACGTGCCCAAGGATCGTTACAATTGAAAGTTTTAAGTATCAAGTGTGAGTCCTTTGTGACACCGAAAGTTGTATCAGGTTCTTTTTTTGTATATCATGTCATATTTATGGGGTGTATAATAGTCTATTTCCAATAGACCGAATATCCTGAGAATTCGGTCTGAATATTTTCAACCAAATTTCAAAAAATATGTTTGTTTGTTTGTTTTTTTCACATTGTGCTGTCACTTGTAAGTTTTACACTGATGATTTGTACTCAGAAGTCTCTTTTTTTAAAACTTTATCAGACTAGAGGATATAGTCTAGGGTGTATAATGGACGCTCAAAGAACCCCACAGAGAACTGGAGAACAGGAACTTGTATCAACTCCATCAAATCCTGACATCTATTGACGAACCTGGATGACCATGGGTACATAAATGCGACTAGCATAGTGTGTGTAATATGGCTAATATTCTTCCAGGTTCGGCCATCCAGTAGTCTACAAAGATGTTAGGAGTTGATGATACAGGCTCCTTTGCCACAGAGGACCAAAAATGACTTCATACAACTTTAAGTGGTCTTCTATCCTGGATCAGTCTACAGCGTCCTCGCATATAGGCGTTACACTACAGTTTGGACCATAGATAAATAGAAACTATGGGCTTTCAAACCACCATGATTTGGAAATCAATGGAAATGGAAATGTGTATATCTGTATATTTACATTAAAACATCTCATCAATGTGTATTCAGAAACTAGATGTAATTTATCTTATTCTTTGCCCGCAAATGTCGTTTTGTACCATAATTTAATGTTGCTTGTAAACATAAACACTTATGAACACATATTGTAACATTAACACTTTTTTGATTCAGGTGAATTGCCAGCTTGAAGATTTGGGTAGACGGCGCAAACAATAATCATCAATTATAAATACAATCATGGAGTCCACGTCAGTGTCGCAATTGATATCAAGTGCAGTCTACAACTTGGTTACTGAAAATGTAGCCTTCAGTAAATGCATAGAAATAGATGGCATTATATGTGTTTCTCCTGGGGACCAATCACAAGATATTGTGATAAAGATGCATCAGGTTTTCGTCAAACCAAAACAATCTGTAAAAACCAGCTTTAAGGACTCCATCCTGGTTGAGAAGAATATGGAGCCTGGACCTGTTATCATCAATAAAGTAGGTGAACACACATTTGATGTCACAAAAGTAAAACCCGCCATAGCAAAATCAGTAAAGCGTAAAAAACGACCAAAATATCGTCTGAGTCTTGGAAGAAAGAAGGGTAGATATAGAACTATTAAATCTATGGAACAAGTTGATGATGATTCGGTAATGGATAATGCCTGTCGTCATGGTGATGGTACAGATGGTATTGACACATTATATAATGGAATCAAGATCAAAGGTTTGTCAAACTGTTTAAGTACTACATGCTTTTGTTAAATTCTGTTTTATTTATATATATCTTTTATCGACTCTTTAGATGTCATATCATGACATATTAGTCACTTAGGTAGAGCAGTTCTTCCCATTGTCGAGTTGAAGAACTGGTATCTTTATCCTGGCTAGAACCATAGACAATTCTAGCCAGCGCCAGCCTTTTATCGAGTTAGCAGCACTCTAGTAATCGCCGGTATAGGTCAGCAGTCATAGGTCAAAGACAAATCACAAGAAGTGCTGTGACCTGGGTTTGAACCCAAGACCTCTACTTTTCAGCTTGAAGCTTATTTAAATACATATGATACAGCAAGAAATGTCACATTTTTAATGCTCTTATCCTAAGCATCTAACAGAGATTGTTTTCATAAATATGTACATGTAAATTAACATAACCAACAGACTTGGATAGAAATTCATCAAATCCCTTGTAAAATGTAATGAAGTGCCTTTTAAAATTGAGTATAAAGTCAATTTAGAACTTGAAAGAGCCAATTATAGATCATGTACCTTTTGTTTTTGTCCTCTTTGAATGCTTAATTAAGAAGATGAGAGAAATGGAGGTTACGCCTTGTAATATTACTAAGCAATCCCACAGCATGGGACAACATGATATTAATGAAATTAATTAAGTTTTGTTTTATTTACAGAGGAAATAGAATCTGAGCCTGAAATACATAGAGAATATGACATGACTAATACAAGCTGCTCAATTAATGAAGATAATACTGAAAATGATATAACCAATTATGATAATATGGACATAACTGGTGAAATCAGTGACAGCACCATCATTCAAAATGAACATGAAAATCCTCTTGAAGATGAAACTAAAAGTGTAATGTTTGCAAATGTCATCAAAACAGAACAAGAAATCACTATAACAGATGATAAACAAATAACTTTAGATACATGTGATGAACAAGATGATGGTGATGCTAATGCTGATGATGAAGATGTTGGTGATGCTAATGCTGATGATGACAATGATGACATTGCTAATGATTCAGATGGTGAAGATGAAGATTGGTTGATTGAAGGCAATCAGCATAAAGTTGCATCCAGCTCAAAAACAGGTTAGTTTTGATTTAATGAACTACTCTTGCTGGCAACATTGACAGTCATTTTGACCTCCATTCTCCAAACTTAAATTTTTATGTGGAAGCTGTGAAAGATGGAACTAAGTCACTGCATTTGGAGGAGTGTTTTTCATTTGCAGATTTGTTAAGCCTGTTGGTTTAGTAGAGTTAGTAGTGAATTAGGCTAGATGGAGTCAAGAGATTGTAAACGCTTATTTGTCTGTCTGGCCAACCATTATCCATTCACAAAGCCTTTTCCTCCTCACTATACCATGCTATAATACATTACCAAATATTGTACATGTGTAAATTTGTCCATTTAAAATTAATTCTTCAACATGTTTTGTAATGACTTCAGTGAAGATGTAATGTCCCTTGGTGTTATGGTCTTGGATTTTTGATTTTAATAACTGGTACTTGATGGTAGATCATGGTTTGGGATAGTTGGGGTTTGTTTTCCTTATGACTGGTGTAGTCTTAGCTGTTTTCTTTTTCTTCCTGTTTTCTGTAACAGGTCCTTTCCCTTGACACTTGTGCATAATACTTCAATGTAGTCTCCATCTTGAATTTATCTACTCTGCTTTCAGATGGCCATCCAGCTCCAAATCTGATCGTAAAAGGACCCGCTATTACAAGTACCACCACCCAAGACAAGAAGGACATAGCTAATGGTGTAATTTGCACAATATGTGGCTCGGTCTTGAAAAATGAAGCCAGTTGTAGATCCCATGAAAAAACTGTACATGGACCACCCAATTTTAAATGTGACATTTGTTTCCAGTTATTTCGTCGTAGGGAGTGTATGGAACGGCATAAACGACACTCACATAACATTGATAAGATCATGTGTTCACTTTGTGGCAAACTTTTCTGTCATCGAAAAACTTTAAGGCAACACATGAAAAGTATTCACATTGGAGAAAAATTTGCCTGCGTGAAGTGCAGTTCAGAAGGGGGCTCTGATGTCGTATTTTCTAGTCAAACGTCATACAGGGAACATATGTTAGGAGTTCATGGACCCCCAAGATATATCTGTTCAAAATGTAAAAAAGGTTTTAAATGGAGAAATTCGTTTAAAAACCACAAGCAACATTGCAAAGATATTGATTAGATATAATAGTATTAATACTTTGGTACTGTACTGTATATAATGAATAAAAAAGCAATATAAACAAAAAATAAAGCAAACAAAAATATTTGCATGTTTCAGAGTCTACACATGAAAAACACCAAGCAAGCATTATTTTAACTTCTTGACTACCCAGAGTGATGAGATTTCTCGTCACCTTAGAAATGACCTTGAAACTTAGGGTGATGAAATAATCTCTCACAAAAATTTTTTCACTAAAATTGCTCTAATTTGGACAATTTTCATCCAATTTACACAAAAACACTTCAAAATGTGTAGAAATGATCTCTGCTGACAAATTTCACTAAAATGAGCATCACCTTTTGTATATGCATGTAATGAAATGTCAAAAGCTGGCAAATATGAAAATTCTCTGGTTTCAAACCAATTTTAGAGTGTGATTCAAGAGGTTAAACATGAAAAATATTGACATGATTGAGAAATTCTTTCTGTTACTTTTTCTCCCTGTTGCAAATGGATCTACTGATTTTTACTACACAAACCTAACTACAGTAAAATGACCCCAATATTTACCACTTATATCCATTAATGAATCTGTCTAGATAAAAGGATGGGCGTCTTTAACAAGACCATATATTAGCCCCCAAGATATTTAGAACGATTTATACAGGATATTAAAGAATTCAAAAGCACTCGTATTAATATGATATTTTATTTAGACACAAAAATCACTTGAATTTTGCACCACTGACATCTATTGACAGTCCTTACAGCCATTTTGGCTAATTTCTTAAATTGTTTAACTGCCAAATTCAACACAGATACAGTAAGTTTTTATCCAAGTACATCAGAGTTTGTGTACTAATATGAAACCATGTCCAGCATTTCCAATTATTACACGTGAAGTTGAACAAGAATGCACTGAGAAATGTTTGAGAATATTTTGTTGTAATTTTCATTTTTATTTATCTTCAAAATTCTAGACTGAGTTATGTTTTTGAAATGGATGCAGTCTGCAGGGTATTTTCCAATGTGTCCGCTGATTCCATGCTCTGTTGTTGGATTTAAGATCTAGTTGCCACTGTATGTTCTGAATTTTAAATCAGCTCATGAATTCAGAAATGTTCATCTTTTTCTTCTGAAATGGGTAGGAACAAACATTAGAAAATCTAAAAAACACTTTAATTAAATATAAAACTGATATTAAACATGAATGATAATAATTGGTGACATATACCTGTACCCATTTATCATTACAAGTGATACTGAATATTATATGTTCTATGTAAAATGTTCATTTCTATTTAGATTAAATGTGTATTGAATCTAATTTAGTTATCGAAAAATCTTTTCTTAATACCTCTCAATGTGATGATGATTGGAGGTAAACCATAAATAAAAACTCTTAACATCTCTTAGACCTCTATGTAATTTCTATTGTGCGACTGCACTCTCAATGTGAAGTAACTGGAGGTAAACCATATGGATATGGTAAAGTGTAAGAAAAGGGAACAAAAATCAAATAAGAATATTACTTTCGCTTTGCTCTATTCTGCATGTACATTGCGGATGGAGGAGAGAGTAATGTTGGTGATGTCATAAAATTAGGATCTGGTGTCCTGTCCCCGACCTCACTCCCCGTCCCTGGTGTTTGAGGCTCAGCCTCACTCTGGGGCTCGTCAAACACGTCACTCCTAGGAATATAAAATGGTAATTCAATATTTTTGTTTTCATTCTTGCTTGAATTAGCCTATCCAATTGTTTAATTCATGAAATATTGAAACAACATTGTCTCACGCAAAACAGCAAAATGCACGAAGTAACAATACTTTGAAATGTTAATGGATATTGTAAATGCAAGGAAATAGAGTCCATATTCCAATTAGGGAGTATATTGACCTTGAAATTGAGAGTCTTATAACATACTAACAGAAAATTGAACAAAAGAGTCATGTTTCAGACAGTTTATTCACTATTTGTATCATTCATTTTCCCACATCAATTTCAGTGTGAGCATGACAATACTCAAACACTTTTTGAACTGTTTCATTTTCAGACATTTCTGCACATTGAGAAAGATGACTCCATTTCTGTTTAAGTTACTCATTAAATCCACTCTTACTCCCAATGTTGCACTATACAACACACCACCATTACAATAACTTAATCATTTGCATAGAATAGTAAAACAGATTTTGGCTGGCCTCATATTCCATGGATTCAGTGAAACAAGCAGGACGAGACTGAATAGCAAGAATAGCATACCTTGCCTCAATGTCTTCAGATTTTATGTTGTCCAAAGCATCAGCCACCTCAGCTGCAGTCATATCAAGCCCACCAAAACCTAAAATCAAAATTGAAACTGATTAAAAATGTCTAAAAGTAAATGTGAAAAACTACTGCCAGGAACAAAATATTTTGGCTCATGTATTGAAACAAGAAAATTAACTGAATATTTTCCCAGCAATGGACTTTGAAAAACTGGTTTCCAATGGGGCTTTCAATCTTTATGTAGAACCCTTACAATGTCTCTTTAATTGATGTTGAGACAATGTCTCTTTTAGTGATGTTGAGACAGTGTGCAGAAGCATTGTTCGTTTCAGTGATGTAGAGACAATGTCCCTTTAAGTGATGAAAATGTCCCTTCAAGTGTTTAGAGACAATGTTCGTTTCAGAGATGTAGAGACAATGTCCCTTTAAGTGATGAAAATGTCCCTTCAAGTATGTAGAGATGATGTTCATTTAAGTGATGTTGAGACAAAGTCCCTTTAAGACATGTTGAGACAATGTCCCTTTGAGTGACTTAGAGACAATGTCCCTTTAAGTGATGTAGTTATACCTTCCAGTTGTAGGAGCTGCTCTGTATCTATGAATTCTTCCCCATCCTCCATCACTGGGAAGTTGATACTGGTAAGAGGCTCATCTTTTATTCTGAAAACAAAAAGTTAAGCAATGATTCCAGTAAAATGCAGAAAATATTGAGCCAAAAAGAGGGCAAAAAAGCCTGTATTTCACGAGGGCATAAAATGGTTGTTATTCATTTTGTAATTATTAAACAACTAGCAGCAACTCCACGAAGTGGCAAATCCCACCTTACAAAACATATTTTAATAAATAGTGGCCATCTTGAAAAATTTGAAAAAGGGCGGCCTTTTTGAAATTCAGAGGCCATCTTGAAAATGTCATCTTGAACAAAGCTCCTTTGTCCATAGACATTAGCCAGATCTGTCAACCATTATTTGAGACGACTTTTCTATATCTCCCTCGAACTTTGTTTGGTAGGATAATTAAAGTAATAAATAAAAAAAAGCATATGTCTCACTTTAAAACTTTGATATCATCAGTGCTCCTTGACAAATCATGGGGCTGATGTATGAGTTTTGTATAGTCTCTGTGTAACTGTTGACATGTCTCCGTCATGGTAGCATGGTATCCCAGAATTCTCTGCTGGTAGAAATCGTGTATTGATGTGACACTTCCTAAACCAAGCTCTTGAAAGACCTGCTCCATTGGATCCTTTAACAAAACATGAAATAACACATATTCCCAGGTTTAACTTTAGGATATGTCTAAATTTGCATATTTAAATGTTGTCACACTATACCTCTTTTTAGTGGAATTAATAAAAATCTTGGAGAAACCACTACTCTAATATGGCAATTCATGATTTTCATCCTGGTAAGATCAAATCTGATATTCTATATCATTAAGGATCTAAATGTTATGATAGCACTGATCGTACATCACTTCTCCAAGGATTCAATATGTGTGGAGCCCTGTGTGAAACAGACAGAATTGGCCTCCTGAGGCCTGGAATAGCAGAAACTTGAATTTTGATCAATTCCTGCAGTCTATTATGTGAGAAATTGTTCTTAATCATCCTAACTCAGCAATTTTTTGCTTTCTGAAGCGTAATATTAAAAGTCAAGAGTCAAATATAAGCATTGTTATGTGTGTAATATTAAACCTTTACCTTGAAAGGTAGAGAACCATTCAGTGCCTCATTGTCAACCACATTACGAAGACTTTGTGTGAGTTGATGATAAAACTCCTGAGTAACATCAGTTAATGTATCTAGCACATTATCTGTACTTGCTGAAAGTTAAAGTACGCCAGTTTAATGTATCTAGCACATTATCTGTACTTGCTGAAAGTTAAAGTACACCAGTTTAATAATTTCTAGCACATTATCTGTACTTGCTGAAAGTAAATGTACACCAGTTTAATGATTTTTAGAACTTTATCTGCACTTGTTGAAAGTTAAAGTACAATAGTTTAATGATTTTTAGCACATTATCTATACTTGCTGAAAGTTAAAGTATGCTAGTTTAATGTATCTAGCACATGTAGCACATTATCTGTACTTGCTGAAAGTTTAAGTACAATAGTTTAATGATTTTTAGCACATTATCTGTACTTGTTGAAAGTTAAAGTACAATAGTTTAATGATTTTTAGCACATTATCTGCACTTGCTGAAAGTTTAAGTACACCAGTTTAATGACTTTTAGCACATTATCTATATTTAAGCACACTATAAATCAGTTGATTTTAATTTTAAAAAAAATTTATTTCAAGTTTTCTTCATTCTCTAATCATAAATGTACATAAAATAACATGTGTATGAATATAAAAACAACATAAATAATGCATACTGTAAAACTAAAAACGCAATGTCAAATTTAGTTAACAGCAACTGAGTAATTTAATGAAAAGCCATCATTCAAATTCTAAAGGAATAAGCCTAACCATCATATCCTGCATGTGCACATATTGTAGCAACGGACCTTTTCAGCAACTTCTGAGTGGAGACCCTGTCTAGAGCAGGTGGTGATTGGCCTATCCCTCGTACAAAATCACTGCAATATAACAGACATGTAGAGCAATTCAATGGCTTCAAAGAGTGATAAATATGGAAACTGTACCACTTTTCATTGTACTTTAGGGAGTGAAATCAACAAAAATCACAATGTAAATCATGGGTCTGATTAAAGGTTGCAACAAAACTTTCGCTGTAATAATATTCCCTGATTCAAGGTAAAATTCCCTGACCAATTGTGTCGCAAAATTCCTTGATCATTCAAGCCTTTGTTGAGACAATTTTAAAATTCATATTCAGGAATTCCGCTGACCATGGCAACCATGTCAAAAGGCAAAATAATGAAATTGGTTCATCCAGGTATTTGAATCCATGCATTTTTAAGAACTTTTCAAAATGAGAGATATTTCCACTTCTCTACACTATATCCATGTACATTACATATTTTTATTTATTGATTTAGCAAAGATTTGTGTGCTCACTGAGCATGGTGTTTAATAAAGGCATTTTAAAAGAATGTCATTGCATGTTGACTTAGAGAAACTAATGTTAAATTATTGAGGTGTACAAGAATAGAAACTCCTTTAGTGAGTACATACTTATCCTCCCTTGGTAGATATGGTATTGATGTTTTGACGATGTGTTTTAGGCCAGGCCCAGTGTATTCTGGGATAGGAGGTGCTGTGGGGAACTCACTAATGTCAACTGCAAAGTCATTTCGGAGGGCGTCTTGAATTCTCTGTTGTACAGTATACAAAAGATGATGCATTTCCTTGGCATGTTGTATGAGCTGAATTGTGTGCAATGTAACTGGATCTGTACGACATTGTCCGGCTGGTAATTTCCTGGAAAAATTTTAAATAAACATCAGTCATTACAGTATACAGGATATATTGCATTTTCTTGCCATGTTGAGCTGTAGTGACTGGAAGGGACCAATTGCCATGGAAACAGCGGCTTAAGCAACCTAACAACAACAACAAAGTGTTTGTTAAGCACCAGGATCTCTGTACTACTTTTTCCCATGGACTTTCAAGAATTGCCCTTATAAAGCCTCACAAATAATTAAGAAATACTGAGATTTTGTGATTTATGGTGCAACATATGACCAAAAATATTATTTTGTTCATGTTAGGTGCTATGGAAGTTAAATATGTCTTTCCGGTTATGTAAATGATAAGTGGAACTAGTTTAACTGACTGGAGGTCCAAACAGAACTCTGTTATCTTGGTTCATAAAATTTTTAAAATCCAGCATGGTTTTGTCACTTTTTGTTTTGTCATTTCCTGTTAACTTCTATGGTACCTTAAAAGGCCCGAAATTTACTTCCTGCGAAAGCTATTTGGATTTTGATATAATAGCTTTCCCACGGAGCATTTGGACAGCTCAGTGATCGTGACCTTTGAAATCGAATTAAGTAGATCCGCGGCTTACTTTTGGTCTCTAACTGTGTCTTACATCAGTATCATCAATCCGTGTAAGTATTGGAGCGCTGGAGTACTTCTTTTTCGATCAAGACTTGTAATTGTTAGGTCGAGTGAATCGTTTTACTGCCAAATTCCAATATGGCGGTTTCTGCTCGGACATTTTCGTAAATCTCCGGAGGTTGTCCGAACCTAACTAATTCTCAAAATTCATTTCGTTCGTTGCGTATCTCGCACCTAGCAAACCGCCATATTGGAAATAGGTCTGTAAAACTTTAACTCGATGAACAATTTACAAGTCTTGATCGAAAAAGAAGTACTCCAGCGCTCCAATACTTACACGGATTGATGATACTGATGTAAGACACAGTTAGAGACCAAAAGTAAGCCGCGGATCGACTTAATTCAATTTCAAAGGTCACTATTGATCAGCTGTTCACTTCTCCGTTTGAGAGCCATAAGTTTCAAAATCTAACATGGCTCTCGAAGTGAGTAACCCGAAATTACGTAGCGATTGAGGTATTTTGCAATGGCCAGAAGGTATTAGGGCATTGTTTATTATATGATTGTCAAGAATATCATCTAAGCGATCTAAAGATATTGACGGTTCCTACTCGTTAGAAGGTGGTCGATGACGGGATGAGGGCTGATGCAAAACAGGTCCTTCAATCTCCATTGGTCTAGGCTTAGTTAACTTTTGCCTCTCTTCTGCTGCAAGACCACTGTCTACCTCAGGTAGAGGTGGTAGTGTACCCCATTTACCACTCATCTCTCCTAAAATTTTATAAATTCAATTTAGTGGGCGATAATAGGTGAATATAAAATTAGTTGTATATTTCGCGTTGAAGTGGAGTAAAAAAACCTATCATTCCTGGCCACTGTATAAGAATACACACTTACCACTTTGATTTATGCCATTTATATATTCTATTGTACCGTGGTTGAGCCCTAAACTATGAAAAACACTGCGAAAAATAGTTTTCAATTAATTTAGTAAGCCTCTTATTTTGAAGAGCTCTGATTGGTTTCTTGCTGAACTTTTGGTTCATCTTTTGTATTTTAATTCTAAATTATTAACAACGCTGGTATGCTGCAATCATTGTAAGTATATGCTACAGGTAGTATAATATCTGGTCATTTATTTATCAAATTTCCCTGATTTATCCTACTGGACGATTAATCAGATTCAGAGGTTGAAATTGTTTTGAATTTGGCGCCGAAGAACACCCTGAGTATAAAATTAAATCTTTCATCCTTCTATTCCATATTTTGCTTCATCCGCAGTGTATTATTAAGTTTCGATAACCGCACACAATTATTCCCTGGTAACCACAGTAGCTTAACTAAAGTGTTTCCAAGACAGTACAGAACTAGGTAGGTATGGGGGGGGGGGACATTTCAAGCACTGCATGGATAGTGGGGAATTCTCCATTTCTCTGTAGGTGCTAAAATACCTATAGTTTAATGGAGAACTACACAATATCCATGATTTCAAGTCAAAAGAAAATATTTTGAAAATTTAAGGACTCGAAGTGAGGCCCTACAATATCTGGGCCTTACTTAGTTTGCACAAAGCTATCTCCTGAGAAATATCTATCTAAAAGATGGCTATGTGCAAATATAGTAAATCTGGGCCCATCTTAGCCCATGGAAAATATGTTATCTCAATTTGAATTTGAAAAAGTAATGTTGACAAAAAGGAAAATATTATTTTTTCTGAAATAATCAAAAAGAAAGACACAAATGAAGGAGCTTGATTTATCAAAACATGTCATAAATGATTCATTTATGGCAATACAGGTATTTTTACTTTCTGATTCAAAAGTATCGTTGCATGTATATAGCTAGTACATGTGCATTAAAAGGGATAAAAAGTGAGATATTATATAACAGAATGTTTTAAGGGTTTAACTGTACATGTATTGTTGTTTAACTGTACTTGTAATTAATACTTGTAGTATTAGTACATGTGCATTTATATATTAGTACAGGGATAATTACAGGGATAAAGATATTATATAAAAATGTTCATGTTAGACCAGTTTAACTGTATCTGGCTAATGCTATGCATAATATAATTTGGAATGCATGGCAAGAGAGCATTAATAAGTAATGCAATGGTCCAATTTCTTTCTGATGTTCTGGATAATAAGCCAGGAGGATAGAAACCGATGCAAGGATACTTAAATTGGATAAACTCCACAAAAATCTATAAATTCTACAAGATTATATGATGAAGTTAGAAAAAACAAAGTGTGATGGTGTAATTACTTTATAAACTGAAATGAAGGAAACATTTAAAGTTTATCTTTATTTTGCACAAAAGTGTTTTGGGATTACAGAATATAGAGAGATGAAATGGAGGATTTTATGAACTTAGTTTTATACTTGAGTTTGGAAAATATTTCTCAATAACATGATTTTAAAAAAGTGGATATTTTTTGTTATATTTTTATTTAACGGTAAGAAAAAAAGTAATTTATCTAAGGGAAAATAGTAAAAATGTTTTAAATTAGTTTTTCTGATATTGCAATAAAAATCGATTGTTTAAGAGTAGGGTCTGTTACATTTGTGAATCAACTTAATATGATTTAAAACAGAAAATAATACTGTTTGTTTTCTAATCTAAATGTTGTTGGTCAATTTTGTTAAAATGATATGATGATTTTGATTTTTAAATATCAATATTGAAGGATATTATCATGAAGATGTTGTTATGAGTCAGTTTTAACTAAGATCCTGTTTTCAAGTAATATATTTGAATAATTTATTTGAAATAGATACATTACGTCGTTTTTATGTGGCAGAAACTATTTTATCTTCGAAAAGAATATTTTAATACAACATTAATATAAAATTCCATATATTTATTTTTATTTACCTTATATTATAATACCAAGTAGTTTATTCATTCATTCATTAATCCTACATAATCAACAATTGAATTCTGATTACATTATACTCATTTTGCAACATTACACTACAGTGAAACCCATCAAATCAGACCATCTCTGGGACTGGCTAATTGTTTTTGGTTGAGTGGTGTTCACATTTCTAGGTGTTTTAACAATGCTAATCTGTGGCACATTTAAAATGGGAATGAAAAAGTCCTTGAGAGGAGTTTAGATTAGATAGCTGTTCAGATATACAGGTTTTACTGTATGTAGAAGGTATTTAGTGAGAGGTAAAGAATATGGATTTTATTCTGAGGGAGAATATGATAATGAATGAGGAAAACGTCACATGCCCTGAGGATATTTCCTATGAAAAAAGTAGTGTTTATGGTATAATTTTATGTATTTTCAGCTATTCTGGTTATGTCCCATAACATAACAGCCCCAAGTCGGTACATAGCATTAACTGGTGACGTTACGCTTCAATATAGTCTGGACGCCCCCTTAGAAATGCCTTTTATACAGCTAGTTGAGACCACTCAAAATGATTCAATCATAATCAGCAAGGATTTAGATGTATCAAAATTAAAAGGAGAATTAACGATTGATTGTGGGCTCGTTGACCATGCAGGTCAGTACGTGTTCCATTTATATGACAAAATTGGTGGGAGTATTGTGACATCATCAGATATCATGGTCGTCAAATGGCCGTATTTTACCATAAGTTTGCCGAAAGTTTCTACTGCCCTGACAGCAGCGGTGAATATAAACTATCTGTCCAACGGGGCAAAATGTTCATCCAAAAAACCTGACAGTGTGTATACGGCTAATGTAGTCTATTATGGGATGAATGACACAAATTATTTTTCAACGAGAGATCGCTCATATGTGACAGTATATACTACTATGATTAAAGACATATATGGGGACACAAATGGAAAGTTACAATCTATTCCATGTTTTATATTCGATCAGGCAGGGATATACAAAGTAGCCTTGAAGTCAAATCATGATGAAAATACCGTCATCGCATGGAGTAACCAAATGTTTGTAAAATGGAGTGAAGAATATTCTCTCAACCTCACAAGAGAAGTCCTAACGCCTTGTAAATCAGATTTAGTGATACATTACACTCAACCCAAATGTGCTGGCAACTATGATAAAATCAGAATTTATAAGCTTTCCCGGCCCCTTGATAGTCCTCGGGCAATTCCAACGAGTGAGGATTATATCACAGAGATGAGTGCGCTTAAGGACAGAAGTACGGTGAAGTTTAGTTGTCTACTAATACATCAGTTGGTTCCCGGATATTGTTTTTCGTATATCAGTGTCGCATCCAGTAAGGCCATAAATAGACTAGCAACCATTTGCCGTCCAACCACTGCAAACTCAGGTCAGTTACCTATTGTTTACATGAGTCAAATATTGTTTATGAGACACCTATTGTTCATGAGTTACCTAATGTTTATGAGTCACCTATTGTTCATGAGTTACCTAATGTTTATGAGTTACCTATTGTTTATGAGTCACCTATTTATGAGTTACCTTTTGTTTATGAAGTACCTATTGTTTATGAGTTACCTATTGTTCATGAGTTACCTAATGTTTATGAGTCACCTATTGTTTATGAGTTACCCAATGTTTATGAGTCACCTATTGTTTATGAGTTACCTAATATTTATGAGTTACCTATTGTTTATGAGTTACCTATTTATGAGTTACTTTTTGTTTATGAAGTACCTATTGTTTATGAGTTACCTATTGTTTATAAGTCACCTATTGTTTATGAGTTACCTAATGTTTATGAGTCACCTATTGTTTATGAGTTACCTAATGTTTATGAGTCACCTATTGTTTATGAGTTACCTATTGTTTATGAGTCACCTATTTATGAGTTACCTTTTGTTTATGAAGTACCTATTGTTTATGAGTTACCTAATGTTTATGAGTCACCTATTGTTTATGAGTTACCTAATGTTTATGAGTCACCTATTGTTTATGAGTTACCTAATGTTTATGAGTCACCTATTGTTTATGAGTTACCTAATGTTTATGAGTTACCTATTGTTTATGAGTCACCTATTTATGAGTTACCTTTTGTTTATGAAGTACCTATTGTTTATGAGTTACCTAATGTTTATGAGTCACCTAATGTTTATGAATTACCTATTGTTTATGAGTCACCTATTGTTTATGAGTTACCTAATGTTTATGAGTCACCTATTGTTTATGAGTTACCTAATGTTTATGAGTTACCTATTGTTTATGAATCACCTATTTATGAGTTACCTTTTGTTTATGAAGTACCTATTGTTTATGAGTTACCTAATGTTTATGAGTTACCTAATGTGTATGAGTTACCTATTGTTTATGAGTCACCTATTTATGAGTTACCTATTGTTTATGAGTTACATGTTGTTTATGAGTTAATATAATCTAAGTTATGAGTCACCTATTGTTTATGAGTCACCTATTTATGAGTTACCTTTTGTTTATGAAGTACCTATTGTTTATGAGTTACCTATTGTTTATGAGTTACATGTTATTTATGAGTTAATATAATCTAAGTTAATCTTACCTAATAATCTTATCTTAATCTAAGTTATGAGTCACCTGTTGTCTTTGAGTTACCCTTTGTTTTTTGAATCACCTTTTGTTTATAAGCAGCCAATAATTATGAATATGAGTTACTTACTGGCTACATTTGAATATGAGTTTGATGATTGTTCACCTTTACCAACATAATCACACATATCCATCCACCCATCCATCCATTTACCCATCTATCTATCCATCCATCCATCCATCCACCTACCCACCCATTTGCCCCCCTGTCTGTTCGTCTGTCCAACTCTGATCCCAACTCCTATTATTGCCCCTTTTTGGAGAAATTGTCCTTTTTGACTGTGAATTAAGTATAAAAAATAAATAATTACCATGGGAGCCCACTGAATGGTGCCATTTTTAATTTAATTTTTCTTCGTTTATTGTTTCATATACTAGTAGATATTTAGGTTGACAATGTGATATGATATGCTACAATACAATACAATACAATACAATACAATATATATATCTTTTATTGACTCTTTAGATGTCATGACCTGACATATTAGTCATTACAAAATGAAATTTCACAAAACTACACTACACTACACTAATATATACAATTTATACAAAAAACTTGTTATTTACATATATGTTATAATATACTTTAGGTGTGATGCATCCAAAATGTTAATCTCCAGGCAAGTTTAAGTTTTTGAATGATTTTGTAATAAAACTTCCAACTTGCTTTTGCACATATTTATCTTTTGAAGATATTAACATAATGAATGTATTTTCAGGATCATGTTGATCAACATTAATTTTGCTAGTGATGTTGTCAAACAATATTTTTCTATTTTCTCTATGTAAATGGCATTTAATCATGAAATGAACCTCATTTTCTATTTCCCCACAAAAGTTACATAATCTTTCATATTCAGGTTTTGGCCGTGGTTTTACATGTCTACCCAGTTCTATTTGTAATTTATGTGAACTTAATCTCAGTTGTGAAATTGATTTCCTGTGATTTTTGTTTTGAAGGCTTAAATATTGTTCTCTTTCAAAAGTTGTTTTGAATTTAATGTATGTTCTTAAAACTGGGTATAATTGTAAATCACACTTCCATTTCTCCTTATAATTTTGGTACAATATTTTAGTTAGGTTCTTTTTAAATACATAGTCATCCTCAACAACTTGTTCATTCCAAGTGCTTTGGAGATTACAATCTTTTAAAATATTATGAACCTTACTTGACCAAGTATTTTTAAATCCTAAACTGTATATTTCATAATCATATAGATATGCTTTATAAAGGAGGTTATCTGGACAATGTTGTATAAGCCGTATCCAATATTTAATAAGATGAATATCAAAGCACAAACTAAGTGGAAAACGACCCAGCTCTCCATAGACTGCTAGGGTTGCAGTTGATGTTTTCACACCAAGGATGCTTTTTAAAAAGGACAGGTGAATAGTTTCAAGTGACTTGATATGTTTTTTACTTGACCATATTTCTGAACCATACATCAAAATTGGTTGGACAAGTGAATCAAATAAATGTAAGGCAACGGATATGGGAATGTCATTAAACTTGTGATATTGTTGCTTTATTTTGAATAAAGCTTTTCTAGATTGTTCTTTAAGATAGCATATTTGTTTATCAAAATTATTTTTACTGTTGAAGATACACCCGAGGTATTTGTAGTCTTCTACACATGCAATCACTTCATCATTGAATTTAAAAGTTTCATCTGATTTAGAGTTAAAAATAATAGCCTTTGTTTTAACTGTGTTGACAACAAGATGATAGTTTCTGCAAAAATCAAAGAGAGAGTCTAGCATAGATTGCGCCCCAGATTTAGAGCTAGCCATTAATACTAAGTCATCAGCCCAAAGTAGATGGTTTAAAGAAACACCTTCAAACTCGATACCATGTTCTGAGGGAAGAAAATCTTTCAAGTCATCTAAAAAATGGTTGAAAAGATATGTACTGAGAACAGAGCCCTGCATAACTCCAATTCCAGTATTGTACATTGGAGTAATGCCATCTTTAAGTTTGAGACATGATTTCGATTTTTTATACATGCTATCAATAATTTTAAACATTTTTGAACTTGGATGTATCCCTGATTTACATAATTTATAAAGAAGTGCTGTCCTGTTGACATAATCAAACGCTTTCCTAAAATCTACCATTATACAATATAGAGGCTTTTTCTGCCTCTTAAAATGTGAAATAATAGTATTTAAAATGAACAAATTATCTGTTGTACGGTGACCAGATTTGTAAGCACCTTGTAACGGGTCTTGAATATTGAGCATTTCTGCATTGAACACTAATCATGTTTGAATGATTGTATCAAAAACATTTCCTAAACAAGCAAGTACATTAATTCCTCTGTAATTATCTGGATTGAAACGTGATCCTTGTTTGTAAAGAGTGGAGAGCATACCGATACTCCATTCTTCGGGGTAATCTCCTTTATCAAAAATAAAATTAAAAAGTGCAGTAAAATCCAATGATAGAGCTTTACAATTTTTGATAATATTAGATGGTAAACAATACTACCATAGTTTTAACAATTAACATTAGCCATAAGTTTGTATTTTATTTAATTCTCACTTTAATTTTCTTGAATTGTGAAACATTAAAAATTGTATTAAATATATTGGCCTAATGTGACTTAAATTGCTTGTAGGATTATCACTTACAAATTATGATATTCTTGAAATATTAGCTATGCTGCCCAGAGGTGGCATCAAAGAACTGTATTCTCTTATCATAAATACTCCACACATGTTCCGACACCTACAGTTATTTAAAAATACAATTTAGAGAATATATCCAAGTTTTAATTTAGACAAGCCCCAATTTAGGATCTTGAACATCAGTTTTCTGAATTGCATTATTTGACCGAATATGTTTTTCCACATTTCTCATGACTGAAAAAAGAGGAAAAATTTGCGAGAGATTTTTTCTGAAATATGAGTGATTACTGCCTGGAGGATGCTACTATCGGATAATAATGATCATTGAGACAGAATGGAGAAGGGTTGTATTTGTACAATTAGTGTTTAGTCTGATCTGGAACTGTAGTGATATGAAGATTTGGTATTTCACTTTCTTGAATCCTTTTAAGAACGTATAGGGGATAAATCGGGAAGAGACTAGTTGAGAGTAGTTTCAAAGAAATTGTCACAATTTGTAATTTTTTTATTTTGCTTTTCATTTTTATGCCATAGATTATTTATTAAGACCAATACCTTTATTTATTTTGGTTTTATTATCTAGAAAAAATTATAAATTACCCTTTTGTAGAATATAAAATTGTAAGGAAAATACATGTTATTGCATGATTTTAAAAAGTTTACTTCCAGTATGTTACACAAGTCTATCCCTTCTAATTCCTTTGATTTTCTATTTACACTAATTTTATTTCTGGAAGTTTAGTTTGACAAATGGGTAAAGAGACATGTCTGTGGTGTTGTGTCTTGCTTGGTGTCTTTGGGAAATGGAGCCTTATAAGAATTTGATATAAAGATATCTTAACCATCTGATCTAAAAAATACTCTATTGCATCTTTTGACTAAATCATTTAACCTCACTTTGTTTCTACAAACAAACAAACAAACAAACAAACAAACAAACAAACAAACAGGTATATTGTTTGGAATATACCATATATACAGCAAATTTCAGATTGATTTAAACTTATTAAAATTGATAAATAGATACCAATTTATTTATTTTATTGATAATTCCTAATTTATTCATTACTGTTAATTCCCTAAATAGGGTTAATTGCATATTTCGATCAACTGTACAATGTTCCAAAATTGTCATTC